GAGGGGGAGAGGGGGAGGGAGAGAGAGGGGGAGGGAGAGAGAGGGGGAGGGAGGGAGAGGGGGAGGGAGGGAGGGAGGGAGAGAGGGAGAGAGGGAGGGAAGGAGGGAGGGAGGGAGACACTCCACTTTCCAGATAGAAAATATATACCCCAAAGACACACCCCCAGTGAACCACCTCCTCCAGTCACACTCTTCCTGCCCACAGTTACCACTCAGTTAATCCCTATCAGGGGATTAATTCATTGATTGGTTGAGGCTCTCATAATCAAATCATTTCTCCTCTAAACTTTCTTGCCTTGTCTCACACATGAGTTTTTGGGGGACAACCTAGTAGCTAAATCATAATGATCAACTACTACAAACTGGTCCATCTTTATCAATTATTTTTATTCTTGATCAGGCAGAATTGGCTGGTACTGTTACTAAGTAGCCAATGAATTTTACATGATTGACCGAAGTAGCATCACCCAAGAACCATCAACTTTAATTGGTCTTCACAGTATTATTATCTCACCTGGAAATTCTTGAGAAACAAAGCTCCCTTTGTGGAGATTTTGATTTAAAAATATAACAAGGGAAAAGCCATTCTATTGTGTCACTTACTTTAACAGCAATAAGCCCTAGTACAGAAAGAATTTGATCAGTTTGACTATTCACCCAATTTCAGTGGAAGATGAATAACTAAAATTAAATAAGAAGGCTTAGAAGGTTGCCGTCCATATCTCTGGTCTCTTTTTTGTGCATCTGTCTTCACTACTGAGCTTTCTCCCCTAACCAACCTATGGGCCAGTGATTCACAATCTTGCTACACATTAGAATCATATGGAAAATACTGAGGGGGAAAAAAATATCAGTGCCCCAGCATCCTTTCAGAGTTTTGATTTAATCAGTCTTGAGTAAAATCTGCTGTTTAACCAAGCTTGAAAAATCACTGCTTCAGGAACTACATGCCTTCACCCAAATTTCTAAGACTGCATTATCTTAATCCAGCATTGTATTTTGAGTTTTTTTGTCCTTACTTATAGAATGAAACGTTGATTTTTCACCAGTTCATTTCATCTTTGTCCATTTTTTTCCAGGATCTGAAATATTTTTTCCCCACCAGGCCAAGAAAGCACCTAATAGTTTATTCCACCAGAATTACCACCAAGAACCTCCTGGTGTCATACTTAGGTTTTGGGGCAAGTTTTAGGTTGCAATTAGTGACTCATAGATCAGTGGCTGGGCATTCCTATATTGCTTCTACCTCAGTAAGAAAGTGTCTATGAATCTAGTGTTTGCAATCTTCAGTGTCAGAATGTATCTCTGTATCTGTTGTGTGCTGCACTTGAAGTCTGTGTATGCCTGATTCAAATGAGAACCTTTGCCGCCACCTTGTGGATGATATACCTAAATGCAAAAAGATTCTGAAAATCAGATCTTAATAAAACTGCAAATACAAAATCGTCTGGAATAGGCTTTGTGCTAAGCCCCATTTAGAACATGAAAAACCACTAGTAAGACATGTAATTTTCAATTTTTATTCCCAGAAATTAATTTTAATAATTGTGTAAAATTGGCGACTTTGTACACAGAGACCTGAGAATGTTTAAAATTTGAGGGGGGAAAAAGATCCATTTTCTCTCTTAAAAGCACTGGTAATGGAGTATGAATACCTTCTCTATATTAAACTCCTATTACATTTAAGATAAGAAAAAATGTAAAACATAGTAGTACCTTGTTTTTTACAGACTTTATTACTTTTCAAAGGTCTTTCTGGCCTATGATCTTATCAAATCTTCATCTCAATTGCACGAAGCAGATTATCCTGGTACTATTATATCTAATTTTCAGATAAAGTAGGTTCAGTGGGATAAACTCACTAAACAATGTGACACACTAACAAACAACAAAGATCAATGTGACAATAGAGAGCACTTAGTACTTTCCCTAGGTGAGGTATAGCACTTAGTACATTGTAACTATGACATTGATCTATTGCTTAGCAACATACCACTCTGAAAAAGAGCAACTCAAGGCAATAATAATCATAAAATGTGCTTAGAAATCTGGGTTTGATGTCCAGTGTTTCTCATGTAGTGGCAGGGGCTGGGTCAATCTTGAAAGCTTTTCTATTACCATATGTGGCACTTGGGCTGCAAAGAATGATACAGTGAGGGTCTGGAATAAGTGGGCTACTTGAGCAACTCTCTCTTTGGGTGGTCTTTCCATATAACAGCCTCCCAGCCACCAGGCTCTTCACATGGTGGCTGAAGGCTCCCAGAGTTTCCCACAGGACAATAGCACAAGTTTCTCTTTCTAATTGACACTCAGAAATGAGGTTGCACACTTCCTGCTACATTGTATCAATCAAAAAGTCCAAAGGCTCATCTATGCTAAGGGAAGGAGAAATAGAGGGTAATTTTAGATGAATGAAGTAACAAAGAATTTGTAGATATTTCAAAATCACCATATATACATTATCTCCATTAACATTTGTGAGTTAGGTACTCCTAGAATCCCCATTTATAGATGAGTATGCTGAGGCATAATGTGGCTAACTAATATCCCCAAGGTAAACAGATAACAAGAGTAGCAATAGAATGTGATTCCCGGGAGCTGAACTCCAGACTCCAGTACACTCTTAACCTCTGTACATACTCTTGTGACACTGAAACTGGAAGCTGGATACACATTGACAATTGTGAAGGGTATTTTGCTTTCAACTACAATTATCAGTAAAAAGAAAAATGAAAATAAAAAATAAATATTTATATTTCCCTTTATCCCCATTGCACAAGAAAGTGAGGGCTARTAAAACTGTGTTTTGAAGAATGCCTGTTTTAAATAAACATTTATGAAATATCCAGTTAGCACAGCCCCTTTATTAGAGGAACTTCCACTCTACTAGAGAAGACTAATACACTAGGAAGTGAATGACACAAGCAGAGAGAAGAGAATCACTAAAGATGAACTGAGAAGAACACTGGCCAATGGTGTTTCCAGATATGAATATTGGTGCAGGCTCTTTGGGGTGAAATGATGTTCTCTGCTATACCATCAGTTCCAGTGCAGTCACCTTGTAAGGCTTCTTTTCTGTGCGAGGATCATATCATCTGTCATTTCTCCTCCTGCCTCTTATCAGCCAACAGTTCTCTTGAAACGCCATCTAGGAGTTGAAGCTGAGAAGAACATTGAGCATAGCACACCATTCATTGGACTCTCATTGAAAAGTCACTAAAAGTTGGCTTTATGCTTTTTGTTTACTTTAGTGATGGGTTGGAGTGACTCATTATACAATTAAAATAAATCATGCTGCCACCATCTACACAGTCAGGCTTTGTAAAACCTACCTGAGCAAATAGGGAGGAGGGAGGTATCTTCCAAGAATTTTAGCAACCAGCTCCTTTTTGTACTTTGAGAAATCCTCCTTTGACTCAGACTCTCGTCAAGACCTTCAATGTTCTGATAACAACAATGATGTTATTTCAATTCTTTATAACACATTTATGTTATTACTATATTCCATGTTTATTCAGTCCCCAAATTGCATGAATAACCTAAAGTGATTTAAATTTATTATTCTCTTTCCAGAAATATTTGATTTTTTTTTTTTTACAAAAACATATTGGCTGAAAGTAAAAGGCAAAGGACTCAATATGTTACAAGTTTTAGAAACACATGGAGAGGAGAAAATAATTTAGGACAGTAGACTCTCCAGGAGGCCACATCATAGCTCAAATGAACTGAGAAGAACTGGATGTGTCCACTATTTGTGAAGCCAACCAACCCTATAGTGATCTTAACCTTCTTACAATGCCTCTAGGCTTAAATAAAATTATCTCAACTATTTTCCAATGCAGTGACCTTGGCAATGTAAAACATAGACCCCCAAATCAACAAAATATGTAAATAAATGAGATCATAGATAAATTTCTTAAAAGCCAATTTGGTTGGGAAAGGACTAGGACTAAAGACCATTACCAGGGTGACATTCAAAACATTTAATAATCAGTATGTCGTATGTCCTGACTAATCAGAGTAGACACTGGCCAATAAGAAAACATGACTGAAAGAAACCACTGGTAACTGGTTCAGCTATATGGGGAGGGGGCACATTCAAACATTTTCTGCCATTAGGAAATGGAATAACTGAGCTAGTTGAGGAAAGCTGTGGAGAAGAAGGGGTACAAAAACACAAAGCAAGAGAGTCAAAGATACATTTGATTCACTTGGAAAGTTCTTAGGTTGTTGACATTTTTGCCATGCAGAACATAACAAAGCACTCTGAAGGCAGGGGAAATAATTTAAATAGAAGTCTAAGTCAAATGAAAACATCCTAAATATAAACAAAGTCACCAAATGTTTTTAAATAATTACTTTCTGTATCAGCAATCTGGTGGGGAGGAGTTCATAAAATAAGCTAAAATATTATAAAGTTAATCAAATGAAAATTTTTAAAACTAGTATAAAATCAAAACAAGGTAAATAAACTTAACACAGAGTGGGGGAAACAATTTTAATCCGCAACCAGTTTTTCTTATTCAGTTTAATTTATATATGGTTTATTGTCATTTGTAAGTGCCCAATGATGATATTTAAAGCTAATCAAAAATTACACTTTGTTGTTACTCTAATTTCTAATGGATTGT